TTAGACATTAATTTAGACTGATACATGCAAATTCCTCCTCCTCCTGTAAATAAAAACGTAGAGAGACGTGCACTATATTATTCCTGCACGGGATTGAAAGGTTTTGGGGAGATGAAATAAAAAATAAGTAATTGAATAAGATACTATCATGCAAACTTTGTTGTTTTCGCTTTACAAATAACAGAGAAGGGATTCGAATTATATTAAAGGACAAATCATTATCCATGGTCAGGCCGAGGCGTAGCAAAAGCTAAAGCTATTAAGGTAGAGATCGTAATTCTATAAAATACAGAGTGCGTGCGTGTCCGTGTGTTTATGGAAAAGGTGAGAGACATATTGAAAGCAACGGATAATGCAATTCCAATGGTGTCTTATTGAGAACCCAATAACCAAAGAAAGGGACGAAGTCCTAATTAAAGGGCAGGCCGAAAAATAATTAAACAATAAAGCAACAATTAATTTAACAATAATAAACAAATATATGTTACTCTCTCCATTTTAAATTATAAAACACTTTTAAATAAAATTTCACATATCAGTAGAGCTCATTAAATACATTTTACAACTTTATTTTTTTCAAATCAAAAATATAAACTTTTAAAAATATTATGTATTTCATATTTTATTGATAAAAGATTGTTGAAGAGGGAAAATGTACGAGAAGGATAATATTAAAAAAATATCATAAATAAAATTTTATTTTTATCAAAATATTTTTTATTTTAAGATTTTGAATTTTTTTAAAAGTGTCTTATAATTTAAAATAAAAGGATTACATTATATAATACATAATCTGGCCTGGGCCGTCTGCCATCTTAGGCCATCAAACCAAACACTGCGATGTTATTGCCCACCCATCCTAAAATTCGGTCTGCAAATCAATATTAATTAAGTATTGATGATTGATTAAGGTATATATATGTCAAGCATCATCGGTTGTGATAAGAAAACATTAAAGTAATTGGCCCTCAGCAGGCCAACTAATACCTCAACACCAAGTGTTGAATAATCCGACGGAATTTGTGCATTCAACTGAAAATTTCAAGGCTTGATTGGCAACCTATTTTTAAAATAATTTTTTATTGTTTAAAATAAAATTTTTTTCAAAAAACTGTTTGATAAGATATTTTTAAAAAGTATTTTTGAGAATAAAAAAACAAAAATATCTTTTTTATATTTTGTGATTATTATTTTGGAAAATAAGAAAGAATGTGAAAAACATTTGTTTTTATTATTTTTTATTTTTACAACATTCTACAAACATTAATTATGAAAATAATAAAATAAAAATAATTTAAACAAGCCTCTAGTCTATGAAAAATATGTTCGAACCGAATGAATTTGACAAGAAGTATTGAATTAAATTAAGAATTTTAAATGGGCTCTGTATTTTGTTGCAAATTCGGCATTTGCATTAGCCAAATGTGAGGTCAATAAATTTTAAATGTATATGGTCACTTAAATTCCCTTCATTTTAAAACGTCGGTTAATTTGATTTGATTTCTAAAATGTTGCTCTCAACGTATATAATTCACTATTTTAAATATATATTAAAAAATAATAATGACGATAAAATTAAATTAATTATGAATCTCATTTCACACACGCACTGGGAACTTTTAAACATAAAGGAAGTTTGGTTGAAAAGTTAATAAGTTACTTACCAGTTAAGTTCGATTTAACAGGTTTGATTTGATTTCTAAAATGTTGCTCTCAACGTATGTAATTCACTGTTTTAAATATATATTAAAAAAATAATAATGACGATAAAATTAAATCAATTATGAATCTCATTTCAAACACGCACTAGGAACTTTTAAACGTAAAGGAAGTTTGGTTGAAAAGTTAATTAAGTTACTTACCGGTTAAGTTCAATTTAACAGGTTTGTTGACTTTATAAATTGAGGATGCTGTTATATGTAGTATTTATTATCGATCACCAAGCGAGTCACAAGTTAAAATCCAACCGAACAGAACTTGCCAGCTCCGGGAATGGCTAATGCGGTGACTAATATCACACGAGAGGCACGCCAGATAAACCAATATTAGTGCGTGTAATCCAATGGTTGAGGAGAAGTGAATCAAACAATTACTAATTAAGTAATTAGTGAACGTAATTAACTTAAAGTAAAGGATTGAGAATGGAGAGGAACTGTTATGCGAGGGTGTGGAAATTTGGACATTCAAAATTCAAACGGAGACATGATGATAGTTGCCATTAAGTGTGGTGGAGAATGAGAAGGCATGGCCAGGTCCACAAGTTCCACTTTGAGTTTCCACACAGAAACTTTGCGAGGGAATCCCAGAAGCGATGCCCTCCCTATCAACGACATGTTCCTTTCATGCTCTTCCTGTTTCACACTCCATTTGCATTCTCCTTCTATCTCTGTACGACATCAGCTTTGTTAATAGCTATGTATCCACAATATGCATCTGCATGTGGGGCTTGGTTCTTGGAGCAATCAGAGACCAGCAAAATTATGTCAGCGGGGCTGAGTAGCTTGACCAATGGTTTTTGTGTGACAGTGAGATTTAACTTTACACTAGAAAGGAGGCGGAGGAATGAAGGAAGGCCATGAATAACGTTGATGATAAGCTTTATGAATTTGTTTTCCTAGGTGTCATGATTGGCAGCGAGCATTCGAACAAGTTTCAGAACACGTTATGATAAAGCGGCACGCACACCACTTGGGATAATACACCTGCATGTTGCACACTACACATGCAACGTCTCAGTCTATCTACTCTCCAGCATGCTTTAGCAGTAGTCTTGTCTCGTTAACAAAATGGACCTGTACTAATTCTACCCAAAAAAAAAAAAAATGGACCTGTACTATATCATTATCACATTCACTCCTGTTGCTCCAACAGCAATATTATCAACACAATTTTCTCTTCTTTCCTATCGTGCTCATGTGATCAGATTTGCTTCACTAAAGAGCGAACACGTGGCTTTAAGCGAATCTGTGCTGGACAAATCGAACTTCTTATCCCTATTGTTTGACTCAAACTTGGGTCTAGAGTATGAATGAGCGGTTCCTTTTTGTATAGTTGTGGACTAGAGAATCAGGGAAGCTAAGCTTGTTGATTGGGTTGGGACCTGGGAGTCAAGCCCAGACTTTGAAGGCATCAAGAAAAGGATAACGTGATGGACTTGACAGTTTGAGCACCACTTCGGGGGTTTTTTGACCTTGTAAGGACCTCTACTCTTTTCTGGCTTTTTAGCTGGGTATCGAATTAAGAGCATCCAGGCCCAGTTTTAGCACTCTCCCTTTTTTTTTTGAAAGCCCAGACCAAATATTTAGCCTGTTTGTAGTGAAAAATTTGTGCACAATATGTAACAAAAAGACATAGCAAATAATTTATATATATATATATATATAAAGTTAGTATATAATAATAATAATAATAATATCCCAATTCATATCCGCTCTTGCTATCAAATAAAAGGAAAATAGGTAATTAATATTTGCCTTTTTTTGGCAACTAAAGGAGATGGATCAAACCTTTTAATAGGACTGCTTGTTTAAACTTTTCTCATGAAAAGTACTCATTGTTTTAGAAAATATTCTTTTATCAAATTTTATGATTTTTTTGAACTTTTATAAATAACTAGAATATAAAAAACATTAAATTCATGATTATTTTAATAATTTACTTTAAATAATTTTTAAAAATAATTTAATATAGCAAATAAGAGATAATATTATAAAAATGTAAAGAAACATGAAAGTGCTATAAAATTTAAAAATAATTAAATATTAATCACTGTTCATTATTTTGAGTCAAAGTCAAATATATATATATATATTAAGTATCACTTTATTGTTTAAAATAAAAATATTTTTTAATAATTTAGAGATATATTTTGTAAAGATTTTATAAAAAAAACCCATATTATTTTGTATTTGTTTTTTTTTGAAAACGGATCCCATATCTGGGCAAAAAGCAACTTCAATTCAGCGTATCTATTGTATTTACTGACAATAAAAAATTATATTGATTGAATTAAAAATTATTAATCTATTTTAACTATTCAGTACAGCATTATTTCATATCAAATAATTACATATCGACAATGAAAATATAAATTTAAAAGGTTAAAAAACGTCCACACTCTGTTATCTTACCTAATATTATAATTGCTAAATTGATGGTTTGGCAGTGATTAGTCTTGTTGACAATTTATCTAGGAATGATAAAACTTTTGATCCATCCAACTTGTCTCGGGACTTAATCTTTAATGTTTAATCTTTATCATGCAGGCTTTTAAAGTTTTAAAAACACACACAATTAATTATTTTGATTTGAAGAGAAAACAATATCAGAATTCATAAAGATTAATTGTGTATAATTATAAAAATTTAAGAAATTTATTGATAAAAATTGAATTCAAAAGACCAAATCAACAGTGGAAACTTAATTCATGAAATAATCATCGTCTCATTATTTATTTATTGTTGGTCAGGGTCATTTTCAAAGTGATCCTGGTTTCCTTCTTTCGTTATAGGCCGGGCACAAAGGGCCATTGCCTTTTTCTGTTTAGGCAAAAAGCATCAAGCCCACTAACCCAATCAGAAAATAAACGGCCCACAGAGTCATCAGACCCGAGGCGTGTGTGAAATCTGTAACCGGAGGGCCACACCCACCATTGGAACCATCCAGATGAGATTTGTCCTGTCGTATCCACCCCCACTCGTCACACGCGTATTGCACGCTACTCTATCTCCACGCCACCTCCCAAGTTCGAGCCGTGCGGGTCCCATTTTTCCTCCAGTTAATTTTTTTTTTTTCCAATTTTTTGGGGCACCAGAGTTCTTAAACGTGCGGCCTGCGAGGCAACGGAGCTTAAAGGCTATGACCCGTTTCTCAGAGAAGATCCGCCTTTCTTCCCTGGTCGTCAAACCGACCCGTTTTCTCTCTCAGAGGCTTACTATCCTCTGTCTCTCCACCTTCGATCTCTGCAAGTCCCTTGCCCGATCCCTACTCTCCAAAACCCTCTCCTTCCTCACCATGGATAGTTTATTCTCGGATCACGACGATTACTTCTGGGACCTCGATTCCCGTCCCCAACGTCGCTTCGTTCGAGAACGAGAGCCTCAATTGGAGAATGAGCCCCTCTACTTGGTTCGTTACAGGTGATTCCCTTTTTATTGTATACTCGTCACCTCATTGCATGACTGCCAGGAATTGGATTAATTACATTGGAAAATCATTAGGGACTGAAATGCCATGCCGTTGTTTTGCTGTATTGCCGGCCTCGCCTTTCTAACGTTCTTCTGGGAGGGAGGGTATCCTGAGAGATTTAGTCAGGTCTCCGTGTCGATAAAGACGTGGTCAATGTGGGATCCTTGTCCCTTAAGCAACTGGAATACCAGTCGCCGGCGAAAACTTAATGCTGAACGAATTCGTAATTGATGTTCCTTTGCTTGCCCTAATTATTTTTTTAGCCTTTTCAACTGTCGTTTGAAGATTGATTTTTTCGCACTACAATCGTGCTATTCTATTTATGCTTCCTTCCCGGGATTGCAGGTGGTGGAAGGAAGTACAAGGGGATGCTGATCGAGAAGAACATGTCCTATACAGAGTGTCAACGAACTCTGATTTCGAGTCTGGCTCAGAAATTGTGCTTCAGTTGAGGAAGGAAGACAACCGGGAGGAAACGATGAAAAGTGAGGTGGGATCTTCAGGCCGTCAATATGCATTGGTTCCTGAAGGTTTGTGGTTGCGTGCTCTTAAACGGTGAGTCTTGAAATCACACACGTGCATGCGCGCGCACATTCTGCCTCTCCTTTTCCCTTTGAACTGATTTTCAGTTCGCTGTTTATTGAAAAGCAAAATGTTGACGACTTATTGAGTGCCTTCATCGTGGCCTTCTTTCTTTCTGTGTTCAAGGCGGTAATTTTCCAATGTAAGACTGTGCAGTAGGTGTGATTTCGAAATTATGACATATAAGAAACATTTTTTACTCAGAACACATTCCACAAACTGTGCCTTATTATTATTATTATTTATTTATTTTTATTTTTTTACCTGGCTGATTCGTAAATTTAACTGCTAAACATGTTACATATGCTGAGCACTGAACTGAACCTAATCAAATATTAAATCCCTCCCATAAAAGAAGGAGGCTGTAGCTGTTACCTTCTATAACTTCTGAATTGTTTGTTTAATTTGTTTTGAAAAGAAACGGTAAAAATGTTAATAATAAGCACAGGCACTTTATCATCATCGTTACCTCAATAAATTCTTAACTTTGCATTTAAGTGCCCTTTCGTCTGCCAGGAAAAACAGGAAATGTAACGATCAGCAGATTTCAGAACTGAAATATCGGAGAAAATGAATTATACAATCACAGCTTGGGTTTCTTGATAGCAGTAGCTCACTCGGTGCGCACACCTTTATAAAACTATAGTGCTATACTTGATGCATTGACCATCAGGCCCATTAGAATGGGAAGCCATAATGCTTTCATGTCCAGATTCTCTAGCCCCCATTTTCTGGTATCCTAATGGAAATTATGCAACGCCATTTTTTTATAGACAGCTCCATGTGTCCTCTTCCCAGACACTATCTGCATATTAATCTGAATTCTCTACTGAAGTTTAGAATTAGTGTTTATCTGCTGAGGATTTTATGATGAATTTCTTTTCATCACAAGTTACAATATTTTTCTGAATTGTCCTTCACAATGACATATTTTTGAGAAACTGAGTCTGGGTCCATTTCACTCTTCTTGTAGGTGTAGTGATTCTAATTATGCAGTGAAGGATTTTGGGAGCCTCTTCTATACAGATGATTGTTTGCCAGATTTGTTCTCCTTGCAAGTGAGGATATTTGTTTCATGGGAAACAAATTCATTGGTAGCAAAGATAAGCCAAAAGGTTTGATTTTAGTGTTGTTCTTGTTTTCTTCTTCTAGATGGAACTTGCCCTGCAGATGGCATTTGATTTTCTATGTATTCCTGAGTAGCTCTATGCTGCCAAAGGCTAATAATAGACATCATGGTATCAGGAAAATATGGCTTATGTCTACATGAAAGCTTGCAAAATTTTCATCTCTGAGTATGACCCGGTGAGTTATCCCACACTTAATTTTGCAAAAGGTTGTACGTGTCCCCATGTTAATTTTATTCTATAATACGGAATTTGCAGGTACAAATTTTGGACTTCTCAGGCCAAACAATTCAGTTTTTCAAAGACGATAATGAGTATTCTGAGAGCTTTGAAAAAGGGGTAAGTTGTGGACTCATCTCCCCCACACCCCCCCCCCCCCAAAAAAAAAAGCCTCCCCAGCTATTATGGGCCTGTGCCTTTGTATAGAGTTTGAGGTGATTTGTACAATATCGTACCAGCAATAAAGACTCAAAAAGCTTGGAAAATTGTCTAAATGACTTCAGTTTTTGAATGTCAACAAGCACTTCAGGTTAAAGTGTGCATAAAGCACAAGTCCATTGAACTTTGTGCGCAAAATTATTCTTAACTAATGTAAATGGGGTGGCAATGATGGATCTCTAGACCATTTGGTTATTAAGGGCTTTGTTACCATGTCATGGACCATTTCAACCAAAAAACTTGATTTTAATCAAGATAATCCAAGTATAAATTACTGTTTATTGAGAACTAGGACTGAAATATGTGAGAGTTAACTTAACTTACTTCTTGATGATCTATCTGACTTGTTATGTTCCAAAAATTTTGATAGTGGTATTTATTGTAGAAAAAATGGTCAATGTCCCGGGTTATTTTGCAGAGCATGCTTTGGGTTTTTGATTATGAATTCAGATGAACCCTAACAATATTATGGCATTTGATTTTTAAAAAAGTTCAGATATCTGTTTTAAATTTATTGATAGTTTGCAAAATAGGGAATCTCTTTTTATTCAGTCTTTCCATAGCATTCATGCTTCGTCTTATTCATGCAGGTTCTCTTGGAGCTGCAAGTTTATGGACTTTCTGATTCGATAAAGGTTAATGGAAGCAATGAGCTATTTGTAGATAGATCTACTATCGGATGCTCATCTCACAGTGGCTCTGTTATGATGAATGGAACCTCTCACAATGTGAATTCCAATGTGACAACTATCAACTCCTTTCGAAGGAGTAGCTGTAAAGCAGTTGTTTCTTTGGGCCTGACAGGATTACAGAATCTTGGAAACACTTGTTTTATGAACAGTGCCATCCAATGTTTGGTTCACACCCCCAAGCTTGTTGACTATTTCCTGGGAGATTACCGGAAAGAAATAAATTATGAAAATCCCTTGGGAATGAATGTATGTCAGAGATTTTCTTTATTGGCTTCACATGCTCATTTTTACCCCCTTTAAGTATCTTCCTTTTGGCATCCCTAAGTTTCTCTGTTTCTATTTGAAAAATTCTTCAGGGAGAACTTGCTTTAGCTTTTGGGGACTTGCTTAGAAAGTTGTGGTTTCCTGGAGCAAGGGCTGTGTCACCAAGAATGTTCAAGATGAAACTTGCTAATTTTGCCCCTCAGTTTAGTGGTTATAACCAGCATGATTCTCAAGTTAGTACCTTTTGTACACCATGTGATTTGCATGTTATGACAATGTTACTTTCCCCCAACTCACATCATCAATGAATTTTGGATAATTTTCAAGATAAAATAACTTCTTAAAATGTGAGGCATCTCTTGTGCAGGAACTTCTTGCTTTTTTGCTAGATGGACTCCATGAAGACCTTAATTGTGTAAAGCGCAAACCATATCACGAAGTTAAAGATGAAGATGGCCGTCCAGATGAAGAAGTGGCAGAAGAATATTGGCGTAATCACCTTGCCCGCAATGACTCCATAATAGTTGATTTGTTCCAAGTGAGTCTTCATTAATTGTTTCATCTATGTTATGTGAAAAATCTCGTATCCTCTTTGATTGCTCATTGGCTTTGATGTGTCCCTTAGTGTTCAATGGCATGTAGGTTTCTGTATCCAGGACAGATGGTAAATTGAGAGTCTTGATAGAAAAAATCCATCTATTTGTCCCTAGCAGGGTATTTCAGTACAATATGTTGGATTAGTGCTCATGAAGTTGGTGGGTGTAGTGGAAGAAGTTATGGCAATGTAAAACCGGCAATTAGTTAACACTGAACCACATTTTCCTATTAATAGGTTCAACATCAACTCCTGAAATTTTTGTGGTATTAAAGTGATTTATTGAAAACTGCATAATTGCCTGTGATTCGTATCAAGATTTGACTTTTCCAGAAATCTATGTAGCATTGATTTGAGGATAATTTTATTTATCTCATGGTTGATTTTGGATACTAAGCTCCTTTACATGGGATAGTTTCCTGTTTTAAAACTAAATTTATTTTGTTCCTTTTACTTATAGGGTCAGTTCCGTTCAACATTGGTTTGCCCTGATTGCAAGAAGGTTTCTATCACTTTTGACCCTTTTATGTACCTATCTTTGCCATTACCTTCTACAACAATGAGGATGATTACTTTGACTGTCCTTAACACTAATGGGATCAACCCGCCTTCCAAATTTACCATAACATTACCCAAGAGTGGATTCTTGAAGGATCTTATTGAGGCCTTAGGTGATGCATGTTCCTTAAGAGATGATGAGACCCTCTTGGTAGCTGAGGTAAGAAGTGGTATTTTTTAAAGTAGAATCGGATTTTAGAGGATCACTACGTCACTGGTGAAATGAAACATATTTGAGATACTTTAGTTTACTGGGCAAGTGCTAACAATTGTCAAGGACTTGCTTACTACAGATATACAGGAATTGCATCTGTCGTCTGTTGGAGGAACCATCTGATTCATTGGCCTTGATTAGAGATGAGGACAAACTAGTTGCTTATCGATTGCCAAAAGATGAGGCTGGCCTCTTGGTTGTTTTCATGCATCAGCAGGTGACGAAGTAAGCTTTCTTAGCATAATAATGATGTTTCAGTTAACTATAACTTATGTCAGTTTTGTTCCTACTGTATGTTTGTATGTCTGTCTCCAATCTAAGTCTGGAAATGAAGAACTCGAGGTTCTACTCTGCTTTGTTTGTGGATTTTACTATTTTAGATGATCAAAGAATCTAACAAGTTGCCCTAGGATGGTAACATGAATGACTTGTACTAAGTTAGAACTTGTTAACAATTCCCAGAGGGATTGCGTCTTAATTTCTCCATTATGCTCATTATGGATTTGCGAAGTACCAATCTTTCAAGAGAGGAAGTATTTGTGCAAGACATTAATGCTCAATTAGTTACTTTAAAACCTTTGTACAATACTCCTAAAAATTGAGTAGAACGGCTTTTTTATATTCAACGCTCAACTTTTGAAGACATTTTAACACATATTAGACATAACCTTAGGACCCTTCCATATTTTCTTTACATTGTCCTACTCATACATGCCATTGTATTCTTTCTGAGAGCTAATGTGTGCTGCTTGTGTCTCAAATAGAATGAAGTGAAACAGAATAAAATAATGGAGGATTCTTCTAGTATATTGTATAAATCTCCTTAATCATTGGTGTGTTTATCTGGTACATGATTGCATTTTTTGTAATATTCTACTGCTAGTCATTTACATGCTCCTTGCTGATCTTTGGAGTCTGCTTTATTTTCTGGGCAAATTTTTATCTTCAGACAATGCAATTTTGGGAGGGAGAAGCTGGTAGAAAGTCTGTTTGGCATTCCCATTGTGGCAAGGTTGCCCAATATTGCTTCTGGATGTGACATTCGTAGGGAGTTTCTGAAGTTAATTAATCCATTTCTGATGCCCTCTGAAGATTTATTATATGAGTATGATGATGGCAAAAAAGATGATATTGAGGTTAGTGAAGATAATGAGTTGGGTGATGCCACTAACTCTGCGTGCTTGGAAGGCGATTCTGATTCAGATTTAGAGGCTGACTTTAGATTCTACTTAACATCACCACTCCGAATGGAGACTATGGAGATAAAAATGAATGAACCATTACCGTTCACGCTGTTACCTAAAAAGCTGGAGGTTGCTGTCTTATGGTCAGATAAGATGATAAAAAAATATGATACATGCCTACTTAGCTCATTGCCTGAGGTTTTCAAGCCGCAGTTATTCTCCAAGAAAACACAAGAATCTGTTTCTGTTTACAAGTGCCTGGAAGCATTCTTGAAAGAGGAGCCTCTTGGGCCAGAGGACATGTGGTTAGTAGATAAATCGAGACTGTTATTTTATTTATGCATATGTTTTTTTTTTCACATATCAGTAGGGTTCAACCCTTTTATCATGTCTTTTTATAATTGTTAAATTGTGTTGTCTTTTTTTTTTTAATTAAGTTGTTATATCTCTGACATGACAACTGCCGGGCTGAAATTTTAATTTTATTAATCAAATCTGATTAATTGGCATTTAAAATTCACATAACAGGTTATTTCAATTTTCAAGCATAAAAATTTTTATGTTAATTTTTGTTCATTATGCCCAAAAGGCCAATGGTAATTCAGCTTGTCTCATGTTTTATATTGCAATATGGTGTGCTGATAGGTACTGTCCTAAATGCCAAAAACCTCAGCAAGCGACTAAAAAACTAGATCTTTGGAGATTACCTGAAATTCTTGTTGTTCATTTGAAGAGGTTTTCATTCAGTCGATACTTCAAGAACAAGTTAGAAACATTCGTTGATTTCCCAATCAATGATTTGGACCTCTCAACGTATGTTGCCCACAGAAATAGCCCCTCTTCCTGCCATTACGAGTTGTATGCAATCAGCTGTCATTATGGAGGCTTGGGAGGAGGTCATTATACAGCGTTTGTTCGTGTAAGTACCTTTTTATTGGAGATGGCGTTTAATTTAAAACATTATTTCTCTTCATTTTTAATTAAGTTTTTGATTGTTTACCTACCAAAAAACAAACTTAAATATTCATTAGCCTATCACATATTTAAGACTTGGACAATTACAATGAATGCTGTGGCACGTAATGACTGCAAAAAGTGGAACGTTTCTGCAGCATAGCTTATATGTTTTACTAGTTTTGTTCAAAAATTTGTTACATAAATTGTTTCTCGTCAGTTTCTGAATGAAATAGTAACACTTCATGTTATTTTGATTGTCACCTATTGTCATGCTAGTTGGCTAAATGTTCTTACTCATGGGCTGTATATCAAGTTATTTCTTTGGCACCCTTGGTTTTCCTTAATTTTTTTTCAGAAAAAGTCTATAAATTGAAGCTGTTGCTGGCACTCTTAATTATTTGGTGCTGTTGGCTCTATAGAATCATCTGTGCATATTGCTTATCAACGTTAAATTTATTTTTGGCATTTTGGTATATTCATTGAAATTGCTCTAATTCAACTGTATTTGACCATTTGATTGGATGCAGTATGGACATGATAAATGGTACGAGTTTGATGATAGCAGGGTTGTCCCTGCCAGTGAGGATGTGACAAAGACTTCTGCTGCATACGTTCTTTTCTACAGAAAAGTTTAGAAACCCGTAGGTTGGGATTCACCCAGTGTACAAGGAAGAAAAATGGATATAGTCTTGTACATACTTTAGAAGCCACAGGGGAAAGGGGTAGTTCTTAAAAAGTTTTTTCATTTATTGTTATGTCAGCATTGATCATTAAATCTTTTTGCTACCATGTATATAGACATAAACCATTTTTGAATATGAACCAATTTTTTCGGAGCAGATCCTGAAAGAGAGTTACAATGACGGGTGATTTGCTTTCCACTACAATACTCCCGATAACAACTCTTAAATTGGATTGTTATGCTGGGGAATTTGGCGTGTTTGGAGTAAATTTTACAAAACTGAAATTCACTGTGTGGAATTAAAACGGGTTAGAGCATACATACCTTCAATGTTTTCAATCAAGCGCACCTCATATCTTTGATGTTTTTTTTTCTTTTTTTGGTGCAATTTCGTGTCAACATTTTTCAATTTAGTATAACCTTGATTTGCCAGTAGGAATTGGCAAGTTGATTGTTAATTGCCTTGCTAGCATGTCACGGCCTCCACGTCTGCTACCTCACCTCTCTCTGAACCTAGATTGGGAATCCCAAACCAAACCCAGATATTCTTTGTGAACCCTCATCCTCTTCTTCCATGTCTTGCAAACGGAAGCATTTCTCTTGACTCTCTTGGCTATCTTCATTGCTTGAAAAAGAAGTTAATGACACCAACTTTTACATGATCAATTACAGGCCCAAGTGGAACCCACCCTAAAAAAAAACCAAAAAAAAATAAGATCTAAGAGAAATTATAGACAAATCAATAAACCATAAACTGGATCAATCAAAAATCAACAACTGAAAAATAAAAGTAATTAGATTAGTCGACAACTGTAATATCCTAAAATCTAACCCTTAATTAAATTAAACTAGATGGGGATAATTAAGTAAATTTAAGTGGACTCATATTAGGGGATAGTTAGAGAAGTCCAATGGGCCTTTGGGCTTGTAGTTGTCGCTTGAGAATCGGACCCGAAACAAAGTTGAACCACCTAAGCTTTGAAAAAGGCTTTGAAAAAGGAAAAAAACATTAGAGTCCTCTTACTGTACCATGCACTGCATCAAGTGTTGACGAGCCACGATACATTACATAGCAAAGGAAGAAGTTCCTCTTTGTGCCATTCATTGTGATGCATAGCTCATATTCTGAATAAGATAGAGTGTGAGACAACTTGAAAAACAAAAAGGAAAGTGAGAGGAATGAAGGAGCTCGACATTTACTCTGCTAAGGCTTAGAGTTTCTTAGCATTGGGAGTATTTTGGAGTTTTTGAACACCAAACGTGTAAGGTTACCTTTACTAATTTACAATTTACTCTCAAATCAAAGGTAATCGCAGGAATAATCTCAAGAGGATTACTGAGTTTGTAAAATTTTCATGAACGATATCCTAAGTTTTTGAAGTTCAAGACACTCCCATATACTTTTATCATTCACAAATCAAAGTACAGAATGTTCATGAAAGCATAGGATATTTATTTTTAACAAACATTTGCATTTTGAAAAAAAAAAAACATTATTTCTACACAAGTCACAGGGATGCGTCGTGGTGCATTGCACATTTCTTGACAGTAATCTAACTATCCTTTACATATCCTATTTCTCCATCCGATATCCGATTAAGGTGATCTAGGTGTTTATAAAAAACTCTCTCTTAACTCTAGCTAATGACACTAATTTCACAATCAAATCGTTTTTCAGTCAAAAGTTGGACACCCATTTTCAAACTCACTCCTTTACATAATATTACAAAACTTGGGCGTCCATTACACAATTCAAGTGCTAAAAGCTCAGAACAACCCTTAAATCACATTTAATGGACTACAATAGACTTGTGCAATGCACCATAACAACTCAATCACACATATAACACAATTTTAATGCTTAACCCTTGATCATAAAAATATAAAAGGGAGCCAAATACTCATAAATCAACATATAAGTCATCATGCTCATTCATTTACACATCTCCCTACTTGTACTAGTATTTTAATTCTATTTAAATGGTACAGCATCACATACTGCTCAAGGCATAAAATACACTTTCAAATCAATTCACAGTTAGTGCAAGTAGTCAAAATAAATCACATGATAACCTAGTTAGCAAACTATTAACAAAAATACACATAAATAAGCTATGGAGTCTACAAGTAAAATTTTCACAGAATCCTATACCTTTAGTAGTTTTTCTAAAACCTAATTCGATGAGCTAGTCCATGTAATATTGAAAAGTGAAAGGTGAGTATAACCACTCAATAATTAATATTACTATAGCCTATACAAATGCATGTAAATTAATTATATATATAAATAGAAATTACAAATCTTTCAAATACTCCATTTACTTTTCAAAGGTTGCCACAACAAAAATACTAACAACCATATCACCGAGTACAAACACAAATCATCTCACCTTATATTTAAACAAGTAAAACACATATGGGGTTATAATACTAACAATCACATGCCCCTTATCCAATCACACTTGACCATAATAATAACAACTATGTGACTAAAAAATAAAATGTATGATCAATGCCAATCTTATACCCTCCTGATACCTCTGACATGAAACTGATAACTATTTAGTGGTTATGTCCATGAATACAGACTAACAAAACTTTCTACTCATGAGAAGCTACCCGGTCGAGACTACTACACTCACTTGTGAGTTACGATTTCCTCTAATACTAACAATCATGAGATGTTATATCGTTAAGTTAGTCTCCTCATAAACTGGTGGATGCTAGTTAGGTTTGAGCTTCTTGAAGAACAAGTAGGGAAGTCCCTTATCAATCATAAGATAATAGCTATCTTCTAATTCCAACAGTCGACAACCAGGTTGGCTTCTAATTCCAACAGTAAGCCGCTATTACTATGTAGATTTAACATTACTCCTTTCTCTCATCAAACTCCCATCATAAATGATCATGCCATGCATACATTAACACATAGTATGCAAAACTATTAATAACCATCACATCATATCTTACTCATCACGATTCATCTCCAACATATTCCACATATCTCAATGTACACATCTTATGTTATTCGTTTTTCAAATATGTATATGCTCTTACTCTAACATCAAACATACATGTATAAACATACATTTTATTTTTCATGGATTCAAGCATTTTTCTTACTTATCACATAACTTCCACAATTTCATCAAATGAGTTTACAAATACCCAAGTTTCAAACAATTTATTTCAACAAATAATTAATTAACAAGCAATTATACAAACTAAATTCTTCCCTAGTTACCTCAAACTTTTAAAAGGTCAAAGACTCACCCCTTAAAACATGCACTTCTAAAGCTTCTCAATATCTTGAATGATGCCAATTTTGGTTAGCCTACAATTAAATCACAAGGATAATCATTAATATCCTATTAAGGTAAATTTCAACTTTAACTCAACCCTTCTAACTCACAAAAACACAATATCACACTTCCTAATATACTCATTGGGTTTACTAGCTTTCTTAGACTCACATTATCATTAATAAATCATTAATGGCATTTAACACCTCTACCTACCCTCATTTGTGACTCAAATTTGGCCATTAATGACCTCTACCAACCAAATACTTACAAAATCGTTAATAATACATTTAAATAATCTAAACAACTTTTATTAATTTTATTTAAATCCATGGGTTCGGCCATAGCCATTATGAACTTAAAATCACTTCCTCAACTCTAACTCTAACTCAACTCTTCAAGAAAATGAAAGAAAAATGGAGGAAATGGGTTTATAAACTTTACCTTAAATGTTTATTGGCTTAAAAAAAATGCCCCTAAACCTCCAATATAGCTAGCCCTAAAAGAGAAATTGCATGTCTTCATTTCCCTCTTTATTTTTCTTCTGTTTTAAAACTCTAATGCAATCTTATAACTATAAAACTCTAACCATACGCTGTAGCATATGATGCATAAAGGTCGGCTCTTCATGACTTGCCACATATGAGCTGTGGCAAAAGAGGTGCACATAGTGATAGGTGGCATAGAGCTTCCTTCCTTAGATTTTCTCAATTTTTTATATTTGAGTAACCCAACTTTACTTTGAACCTAAATTTAGGATTAAAATTACAGCCAAAAACACCTATTAGATTGCTTTAACCATATACCACATTAATTCACAATTTAATCTCAATTAACTTAACTTAATCTTGTTTAATGTTCTAGGATGTTACAAAATATAAGTTCTCCAAGCCTAATCTTCTTCCCTTTCCTATTTTGATAGATATTAGGGTTAATATTTGTTGTTTAAAGTGATTTTTAGTCCATAAGAGCTATGAGTCTGAATCTATTAACTTAAATAGAGTTAATAAGAATTGTTTAGGATATTCAAACCTAACATTTATGATTTTAGGTGTCTATGAGCTTGGACTTATAAATATAGACAAAAGTAGTGTTTGAAAAGCCATAAATGAGATTGTTGGGAAGTAACAACAGCCATTAATGGTTTTAAATGAGTTAATAAGGTTGGTTGAAATTGTTGGAAGTTAATATACCCAATGGGTGTGAGTAATTATGGGTAGTTGTGAGGTTAAGGTTGTTAAAGTGTTGAAATAGGAAGTTGAAAACCTATATACGATGATATTAATAGTGTTTGGTATTATTAATTGTAAAGTAATCATCTGTTTTCCTATTAGGCTTGGTAATAGCCTTGAAAGCAAGTTATAATTGAAGGGTAAACCTTTGATCTCTCAAAAGTTTAAAGTAATTAGGAGAAATCTACTTGTGTGCATTTGCTTGTTAGTTGATAATGATTTTAAATATGTATTTTACATGTGAAATTTAGTTGTAAACTAATTGACATTATGGCACATATATATATATATATATAAAATAAGGAAATGGTGAATAAGGGTTTTGCCTGACTATGGTCAGGTTAATTAAGCATATATTTTGTTATATGATAAAAAAGCTAATATGAATAATTGATTGCCATGATTGGCTAGAATAGGGTGAAATTCATTAGGAATTGTTATTACTTAGTATGAATTAATTGTGTATATGTCCCTTGAAACCCAACTAAATGAGAATTATGAAAAGATTGGTATATGTGATTTAGAATGCATTATGTATTGATAAGTGATTATAGGTGATGGGATAATGTTGAGATATATGAGATCCTCACATGATTGTAGATTATTGTATGCTAGTGATTAAT